ACTGCGGGGAACTCTGCAAAAAACGCATCTTCGCACGGGCAGCCCGTGCGTTGGCCATTTATTTGGAAATGGGGGAGGGAGTAATGGCGGATAGAGACGGTTCGCTCGGGTCGGAGGCCTAGCATATTTGCACTGAACGTGTAACATTTCTTAGTAAATTGAGAACTTCTTGCCAGTAGTTTGGGCAGTTTTTTTGGTTGCATCTGACATTTAGCCACAGTTCTCTGGATTCTGTGCAATTTGTGGTTAACAAGAGTGAGGTGCACTTTCTCTCTACTACTCGATTGCTTAAGCACATTCAGATTATAGAAGTGCTGGTGAGAATCTCTGGATGTGCGCAGCAGATTAGTTCTTCCTTTGGAGCATTGAAGATTCACGTGTTCATTTTATAGTTTTGGAATTTAGTTCTGCAGCGCAGAGGGATAAATTTCAACTTTTCTCAGCAGTATGCTGTGAGCATCTTTTTTCTTCGACTGCTGTTTTAGGGTATTTAGCTATCTTATTTTAAACTGTGTATGTAAGGGATAACTTTCTTTAGGTGCTGAGTAGAAAAGCCTTCTCTGCTGTGTTTTCCCAAAGTCAGTGCGCCTCAGTTTGTCAAAAGTGTTCACTGCGGACGATTCATGACTAGGTCGCTGTTTGAGATTGTAAAAATCCTATAATATTATTAGCCTTTTCAGGTGATGGGTTTCATGTAAAAAATTTTTGGAAGTTTCAGGATCCCAAGATACGGATTTTAGATGCGCTCTCTGCTAGTGGCCTTAGAGCTATTCGTTTTGCTAAAGAGGTAATCTTTTTCTGTGATGATTTCCTTCTAGTTTTTTGGATCGTTGTTAGCTGGTAAATTTTCTGGAATATCCAAAATTATTATATGCGCTCTATGTATGTTTTCTGCTCGCATATTTCTTTGTTGGTGTGTATGTGTGTACGTGTATGTATGTGTGTGCGTGTGTGTGTTTGTGTGTTTGCTTGTGTTTGCTGTTCCGTAGGGCGTCTCTGTATTTTTTCCTTCCGCTTGCATCATATTGTTGCACTTCTAACTTAGCCTTTGAAAATGCACTATTATGTAGCACTTGCAACGTTTGTCATTTCGTAGCAGCGAGCCAACGTATCTCACCGAACTGAAGCTGTATCAACATGTGAAATTGCATCAATCTTAAGCCTTTTTCATGTAGTTTGACTAAAAAAAAAATAGTAAACAGTGAAATGTGTTATTTAATGGCCATATAAATTTCCCGTCTTACGGGTTCAGTCAGCTTTGTTTTACGAATTGTTCATGTGTTTAGGTTAAAGGGATTCCCATATCACCCAACTGGATGTAAAAGATCGTCACGCCAAGCTACAGAACTGTTGAGGTGCTGAACTTATTTTATCAGTTTTCTTTGCACAGTAAGTGATATTTTGCAGGTGCAGGATGTTTCTAAAGTTATTGCAAATGATTTTTCTGAAAAGGCTGTTGATATCATCAAGAAAAATATCGCCCTAAACGGTGTGCAAGATGTTATTGAGCCAAAATGGGGAGATGCGGTGTAAGTATTTTTTTTTTGCTTTGTTTGACGTCAATATGCGCATAATTTGGTTAGCTGTGTTCGCCAGCTAAAAATTTAAATAAGCTAAAATGTATCCCGAAAAAACAAACACATTTTCTAAAAAATTAATGTAACTGTAGAATCTGAGTAGCGACCATCAGGTTTGTCATCGTCATCTTGCGTTTTTGCATTTTTCTATCCTGTAGAAAGATCGCCTGTACTACCCAGATGTGATTGCGCTGTTGCGATTTGGACATTTGATGCGCCTTTACCCAGGTCCCACGCCTAGGCAGAATCTCCTCTTACGCGTGATGGCCCTCATTCTCAGCAAAATATTACTTCCTGCTCAGTCGGATTACCTAACTAATTGGATGACGGTAGTATTCCAAACTAAATATTCACTTACCCACACGCGAAATTTAGGCTTGCTTTAAAGCTGAAATTGAAATATTTGCGTTGCAATTAGGCATAAAATATCCTCGTAAAATTTCAGCTTCCTAGCTTAACTGATAGGCGGAATCGGCTTTCGTTCCATATATCTTTGTCTTGTCCAAACATGAGCCATAAGCGTACTTTAGACTATATTTTATGCCTGGATATGGAAAAAAAATGTTCTGGTAAAATGAAGGGTGCTGATCAGCCAATCCGAATTGGCATTTTATTAGTGATTTCGCAGTCTCAGTTTTGATGTGTCCATACGCATCACGTAGGTGTGCGTTAAAGTTGAATTTGAAGTCGTTTGCTCGTACAAGGGCACAAAACATCCCGGTGACATTCTCTGGTCCTGTAAACGTTTCCCTCGCAAAAACATCTATGTGTTTTCTTTCCAGCGTCTGTGCGTAGCACACAAGCGTATGTGATCGATAATTTTAAAACGGGTAAAATCGCACTTGGGGTTAATATATGTTTCCAAATTCTTAACTTCCTACCGTTTTTGGTTGCTGAGTTGATTTTATGCCTACAGGGTTTCGAATGGTACTTGCCCGTATCTTAGGTGCGTCAAAGATATTTGTTGCAAAGTGGCGATTTTGGTTACCGGACAAGTTGTGAAGTTGAAATTTTGCATTTGGTCTAAATCCAGCTTGTAAGCCGAATTCTTTGCACAAGGACTTTACAATACCCAGTTTTATCGTAACCTCAAAAGCGAGCGCGTTTCGCATTTTTCGTCGTCCTTCTTTCCCGACATCCTATTCGTTGTAAAATTTGCATTTTTCGTTGGACGATTGGCCACTGAATAAATTTGTGATGAGCATGCATACTTGAGGTTAAAGTTTCACGTCATCCTTTTTCTCTTGCATGCAAGAAAAGGCCAAAACGCAGTTGGCATGAATCTACGTATTGGACTGTAAGCAGCAACCATTCGTACTGTTAACGGTTTGACTGTTTCAAATGTAGCGCAAAAATGATCGTACCGGTAAGCTTGGTGCGTCGCTATCTGCACTTCCATTGTTTTCAAGTGTTCCTCTATTATTTATCATATTAGAGATGTGATGATGTTGAATCGCTCTTTCGATAAACGGTTTCATGCAATAGATATCGATCCTTATGGTTCAGCGTCAGTTTTTTTGGATTCTGCTGTGCAGGCGGTGGTTGATAATGGTCGGTTCTGCTCGTCGTAGTTTTTAAGCATTTTTTTATCAGATATTCATGATGGAAATATTATGTCACACAAATTTTCAACCTGTTTACTCACCAGAGTTTTTGAGTGCCAGCTGACTAGACATTGCCGAAGCACCGCAGGGTACAAAACCGGCAATTACAGAAACTCGGCTCAGCTCGACCGCCGTTGAGTGAAGCTGTCGTTCCTCTGCTAATACTATTTTCAGGTGTCACTTTCCCGGCATTGCCTGGCATTTTGCCAGCGAGCGCTGGATAATGTTACCCAGGTCTCAGCGGCTTGATGACATGGTTTTGGGGGGGGGGGGGGGGGGGGGGGGGGGGGGGGGGGGG